TCCATCCTGAGCCAGAGCTTTATATCAAAAGCTCACAAATTCCAGTCATGCATGAAATAAAATTTTTAGGGTTGGTATTCGACTGAAGGCTGACTTTCCTTCCACACGTTCAATATTCGAGCAAGAAGTCTTTTAAGATACTAAATATATTAAAGGTGTTGGCGAATAACACCTGGGGTGAAGAACGTGGCTCAATGCTTCGCATTTACAGAGCACTTGTACGCTCTAGATTGGACTACGGTTCAGTTGTGTATAGATCAGCACAGCCTTCCGTTCTATTAAGACTATATCCAGTTCACCATCAGGCATTGCGGATTTGTTCTGGAGCTTTCAGAACTTCTCCAGTTCAAAGCCTATATGTAGATTGCTATGAACCTTTGCTAAATTTAAGGCGTGAGCAGTTGTCTCTGTGCTACTATTTTAAGATATTATCACTACCTGACCATCCTTGTAAAGTGGATCTGTTGGATGATATATGTGAGCGTCTGCTTAATGCTCGACTTTCTTGTGTACCTTACTTTCTGCTGAGGGTTCACTCACTACTTGAAGAATATCATATGACACAGTTGAGCACCCAGGTAGTAAACTATTTTGAAATACTACCTTGAGAAAATATTCAGTTTCAAGTCCTCGATATTTTTCAACATCTTGGCAAAAGAGAAACTAACGAGTTGGTGTACAGGGAACTTTTTCTTGAGCACAGGCAAAATTACAGTAGTATTTATATTCCAGCATTTACTGACGGATCAAAAGCAGCTGGACATGTTGGCATTTTATTATTGGAGACCACATTGTAGGTAGACGATCGCCTGACGCTTGCTCAGTTTCTTACATCGGAATTGACCGCTATTTATTGTGCGCTTTCATGCATATCCACTTTAAGTGAGAAAAAATTTGAAATATACACCAACTCGCTTAGTGCCTTAAAAGCATTACAAGTATTTAGTGATGCCCAGAACCCTGCCATAGTAGATATCATCATTCTCAATCTAAAGTTAAGGCAGTGTGGGTATGAGGTCTTGTACTGCTGGATACTCGGGCATGTAGGCATAAGAGGTAATGAGCTAGCAGACGCAAAAGCAAAGTTGGCTATCGATATGTACAGTTGCGCTGCCCCCTAACGATATCAGGAAAGTCACCAAAAAGAAAATATTAGATAAATGGCAGAAATACTCAGACGGTCAAGTAGATAATAAGTTAAGAAGTGTGAAAACTAGAATTGAATACTGGGATACAAACTAGGAACCGGAAAGAGGAAGTTCTACTTACTTCGACTTAGAATTGGTCACACACGAATTACCCGAATGACTCACATTTATTTACTAAAAGCAGAGTGTGAACCAATTTGCTCCCACTGTGATGCAGTCATCTCAGTTCATCATGTTTTAGTTAAGTGTCCATATTTTAAAAGGACTTCGTTTGAAACATTTTAAGGAATATGACTTGCCTCTTTACCTGTTTAATTGGGAAAAAGGTGAATACTAATTTATTTCAATACCTGAAAGAGTCATGTTATTATTATTTAATTTGATTTTGTTTTGATGTTGTATCTTCTTACCTTAAGAATATCTATTTTAACATATTTCATGTTTTAGGATTTTACACCTGTACAAATCCCCTGCATGATAAGAGAGTTCACCTTAGCATCCATCATTTTTAGCTTCTTTGTATTTTATGAATTTCCATGGTTTTAATATTGTCTGTTTTGTCTAAGCCTCATTTGTATAAGTTTTCGGCGCAGATAACCTTTAGAGTTTTGCGCCGGTAAAACTTACTACTACTACTAAGCTGCCATTTATTGTCTTTAGCTAAACATATCACTGAATGTTGCATTTTAATCATTAAAATAGCTGCCATTATATTATATCTAGAACTGATGTGTATGATAATTAAATTAAGAACATAGTCTGTTATTGCATACTTTTTTTAAATGTAACAAAAGTATTTCTCCAGCTTTTTCTAAATTATTTGAAAGTGCTCTAAAATTGAATAAATCAATCTTATTAAGGTTGTTTTGAATGTTATTTACTTCTATTGTTTACATGCAAATTTTCATTTAATATTTTTTCTGAATTTAGTATTTGAAATTCAGCTGAAATTGATTCCACGAAAAGAGAAAAGAAAATTTTCTTTTTATGTTGCAGTAATTTAAAATGTATAAATTTTAAATTCCTATATAAAATTGAATCCTTGAGTTAAATAAATTTTTTCCTCCTCCTTTTTCAGCTCTTGGAAATTTAGTACTTTAATTGCATGTATTTATTTGCCAGTAAATTCGATAATTATGTGACTATAATAGGACTTTGTTTCATATGCAGCAAAAAAAAAAAAAAAAAAAAAAAAAAAAAAAAAAATGTAGTGTAACAAACTACTTTTAATGCATTCCATTTATATAAAAATTAGTGTAATACATATTAAAAATTGATAGCTAATAAACCATTAACTTATATACTTCTGGCTTTGAAATTTCTTAAAAACATTATTTAAATTAATTATGTTTTTGAGATGTACTCTAGTTTTTATATGAATGGAACTAATTTTTACAATTTCAGGAAAAAATAATGTATTGCTTATTATTTACTGTAAATATACACATTTGGTTACTGACACTTATATTTCTTAATGGGAAGATCACTGAAAAAAAAATAATTAAATAAAGACATTTTAGACAATAAATTTATTACATGTAGCGTGAAGAAATATATATATACAGTATAAAGTCCGTAATCCAGACTTGTCGGGACTTCGGCGATTCCGGATTAGGGTTTTTTCTGGATTATAGATCATAAATTTAAATCTGGTAAGATGGCATGCAGAAATTATACAATTAAAAACATGAAACCGTAATTTATGAAATAAAGAGCAATTATGATCTAAAAGGTATCAAAATTAAAAAAAAAAAAAAAAAGAATATTTATTTGTTTACTTTATTAAACATTCTTTCAATGTAAGTTGTTTAAAGTTGCTTCGTTTTTGTGCTAATACTTTCTCTTTAATTCTATAAACAGACATAATTTCTTCTTCAGTTACTAAGTTCCTCTGTTCAAGTCCTGTAATTGCTGTGTCGAGAATACAGACTAACTTGTCAATCGAAATTTTTTCATTTTCAATAAACTCTCTGTCACTTTCTTCACAATCGTAAGTACGCATAGGTAAACGCTTTACGCGCATGCAATACAGACATACGCATTAAAAGCGCATGCGTAAATGCTTTACACGCATGCATAAGTTTGTGGTTTTGAGGTTCGGATTATAGATCATTCCGGATAATGGACGTCTGGATTACGGACTTTGTACCGTATATATATATATATAGTATGAAATGAATGGAAAGTATTCCTAAATGAAATCAAGTCCTCTTCCCTATCCCCACAAAAAAGTAAATAGTTTTTTTCATTCTTGAATTGAAGAATTTTCATTCTTGAATTCTTGAATAGAATTGTGCTTTTATTCTTAATAGTTTTTTCTAATTGATGATAAAGAAATGGAAAGAAGAAGAAAAAAATCAGGAAAATTATTACTCTGTTAAAAGTTGACCAGTAAATGGTTAAGCAAAACTGTTCTAACATGAACTTACAAATTACAATAAATTTCATTTTTGTTCTGAGTGTTAAAATATTAGAATATAATTTATATATATTGATAATTGCACTTAAAATCAAGTAGGTAGTATGGCATTAGGCTGAAGTTTGACATTATGAACAACATTTTTTTTTTTTTTTTTTTCGTTTCTCATAAAATATATTTCTTTAGCAATGGTGTAATTCTCGAATTAAATATATAAAAAAAATTTAAATTACATTAAATAAATGCTCTTAAAAGTGAAAATTTTTTTTGTATTTATCTATAATTCTTGGTAATATAATGTATGTATGGTATGTAACTAAAATAAAATTATGGAGCAGCTAACAATGGTAGATTTTAAATCAAAATTTTCAAAGGGAAATTTTGATATTAAATGTTATTCTTATGTATGTCATTTCTACACTATTGTTGTTATTGTTCTTTGAAATTTTGTGCTAAAACAATTTATTCAAGGAATATTTGATTTTTATGCACCTGTGATCAAAAATATTATGTTAGCTAATGAAATTACTTTTTACTTTCTAATTCACTTGATTAAAACAGTATAGTTTAAAAATGTTTTATACATTTTATTTAATACCTTTTAACTTCTTTATTGCAGTAAAGTAATAAACGAAGCCCACTGTTTCTGACTATGTGAAAGTTATTCTTCCTAATCTGCCATAAAATTTTATTCATTTAATTAAATTTTCAATTTTATTTAAAAATTTAATTTCATCATACGTTAAATCTTGGAATTCCTAACAACGAAGGATTAAATTAAAAAATTCATTGTTAGCAACTGCACAATAATTGAAAGAAAATTAAATAACATCTGATAAGTATATTCAGTTCAAACTGTATGTGAAAGTCTTTCTAATCCAGAAGATTGTATTATTTATTTAGATTTGATATAGAAGTCTAATTTCATAGTCACTTAAAAGTCATGGAGCTACTATACTAACAGTGGTTGATTAAAATATTTTTATTTATAACTCCATCATTGTTAGCAGCAGTAGAATAGGTAAAATATGAAATATTATTTGAAAATTGCTAAAATTTGGCAAATTATATTAGAAGTTGCATTAGTTATTTGAAAGAATAATTTTCGGTTTATTTAATGGTGTAGAGATTTAAAAAAAAAATATCTGTAATGATTAGTGAGGCTATTGAAAAAGGATTTATGAGAAAAATTCAACACCTTAAGGGGGGAATTGAAATTTAAAAAAAAATCCATATTGTATTGCCGTACATGAAAATTTTAAAGAAAATCAGATCTATTGAAGGCAAATAAAATTAAATTCAAGATTTGACCCAAACATACAGAGAACTCAAGCCAAATAAAGTAGTTAAAAAATAATTTTCATAACTTAGTTTTATGATATACTTTTTCCCCAAATATGATGCCATTTTAAATTTTTTTTCATTATTTACAGTTTCCATATGGTGAAATTGCATCTCCTTATGTTTTAATATGTGAAAATGCACAGCAGCTAATCATCAAATTTCCTATGACTGGGAAACACAAAATATGTAAGTACATTTTAAATAATTTTTAAAAGAGAAAATGAAAAAGATGATTAAAATAATGTATTTGCTAATATTAAATGATGCATTTCATTTGATTATGTCAAAAAATTATTTTTCATGTAATGAATGCATTATTATATAATTTTTATGATTAAAATGTAATGAAGGAAAACTGTTCTTAGAAGAATAGTTCTTAACAGTTATGCTACTTGATAAAATTAAAAATCTTTAAAGAATTTCTAATATTCAGTTTTAATTTCTCATATTCAATTTCATATAAAAACTTAAGTATATTCATTTTATTTTAAGTAATAAAATATCATATGCATGTTTCTTTTTAGTTAAACTGGATGCTAATATTCATCAGGCTGCAAAGAAGACTTTAAGGAAATTAATATGAAAAACTATTGCTAATAGTCAGAAGCTTTTTTATCAAATACTTTTCAACAAGATGAAAACTTCATGAATTGTAATGATTCCGATGTAACTTATCACCAAATGATTTTTTTCTCTTTAATATAATATTAAAATCTATCTTCTAAATAAATGTTGTGCTTATTTCTGTGTTTTTAGAATCAAAACATTTTATAAAATAATCTCATATTCTTTCTAATTGCTTTAAAAGTGTTTTATATCACTACTAGATGTTCAGAAGTTATTCATAAAATGATCTCCAAGAAAAATTCTTACAAAATTGAAGATTTTCCCCCTCTTCATGTACTAGTTTTATATGTTGCTTACTAAAATATACTTATTTCTCATTCTAAAATCTGAAGAGTTTCATAAACCAGTTAGATAGGCTATATAAAATGATTTTGATTTGGTATAATACTTCTTGATTAAAACCATGTATTCCGTAAAACAATAAATTCATGTAATGCGTAAAATTCAAGATACTGATGACAATCAAAATGAAAAGAAATATGAAATAATTATAAATATCAAAATATTTTAAAATACAAAGATATTATTTATTTACATAATTCTATTCACTTGCTTATCTTGTAAACATCTAACATTGCTAATATATTTTCTATCTAGCATTTTTATAGTTTTAAACTGAAGCTAATGAAACAACTCTATCAAAACTATATTGAATAACTATTGAAGGATATTTGGAGCTATAAAAAATGGTCAGCTTTCTCATAACATTACCTTTACAAATTGTTGGTTTTTGCTAATAATATAGTCTAAAGAATATAGTGCATGAATAGAAAATAATAGCTTAAGGTTTTTTTTATACTTCATTTATAAATGTTACCACATTTACATTAGTAATTTACCTTCATGCAATTGACATGCCTGAACTTAACATTAGGTTAAAAATATGTTATCCCAAATATTTCAAGAAGCTTATATTTTATATTTTTTCAGTAAGGAAGTATATTATTATTTTGATATCTGAAAATCTTTATTACATACTAGGAAATTCAATATGAATGGCCTAGGTTTTTGAAAAGCTATGAATACTCTTCAGTTTTTAACTTCTGTTCAGATTGGTCAGATAAAATAATAAACAAGTATTTTACTATGATATAACATATTCTATTTCATTATCAGATTTATTGGGAAGTACACTGATCTACTAAAATACTATTATGGCTACCCTAATATTGTTATAGTCTCCTTTACCACTCGAAACAGCTATAACTCAACAGTATAGAGTTTTCAAACTCTTGGACAAAAGAAAATCATATAAAATTTGCAAACACGGGTCATACAGTTTCTTTATCGTTTACAAGTTCTGAAGTGATACTGTGCCACATTTCTGATGTGTTCAGTAAGGATAATATCTGAGTTACGAGGCCCAGATCTCCCTTAGAATTCATTATTATGCTTTTCTAATCACAGAACAATAATCCCCTTTCCCGAAAAAAAAAAAAAAAAAAAAAAAAAAAAAAAAAAAAAACTCTACCTTTTAAACAGATAATTATTTTTATATTTTCAATTATTATGGTCACATGACCATGACAAGTTCATGATTATCTTCTTGGCTCAATTAAAAGTGAATGCAAGTGTCATCTGCTGCACAGCTTCATATTTAGCAAACTAGAGCAAATTCTGTACTTAGAAACACCAAAACTTTGTTTTTGCATGCTTCTGTTGTCAGCTTAGCCAAACAAAATGTTCTATTTTACTTCACCATGATGTTAATTGAGCCATAATTAGATGCCTTCACCAGATGTGAAAAGTCTACAGTATTGATCTTTTTTGACAAGGCCTGGATGTTGACTTGTATTGTTGTGCGCGTATTGAGTTTGTATAGATTGAATATACGCAGAACAGATGATAGCTTGATAAAATTTATTTTACCAAAAGCATACTTGTTAACCTATGATTTTAAAAAATCAGGTGAATTTTCTCAATGACAAAAAAAATTTTTTAATAATGAAAATATATAAAAAGGAAATATATTTTTTAATAATGAATTAACTTTAAAATAACTAACTTAATATCTGAATTAAATGCAAATAATATAAAAACACTTGCATGTAAAATAAAACATTTATATTATTAGTACCTTTTAATAGAAAAATACTTTAAACAGTTTCACTAATCATTAAATAATACTTTAACCAGATCACTAATCATCGATTGCAAAAACGTGTTAATGGAATTCTTCGCTGTAGAATTGTGTTAAGGTCGAATGATGGTAAAATGGAGCATGCAAAAAAGCAAAAAGTTCTGTTAAGTTCTGAAACAAAAACATAAATATTCGTTTTTCACGAGATACAAGACTCACAGTAATCAGAAAATATGTCCTTTGTTCAAGCAATTTCTTTTAATTTTGGGAGAGCTTTTTGCTTATATTTTGTATTATTATTTTGAGAATTAAATTGCTCACAGGTGCAGAAATTACTTAATGTTTCTCACACCTATTTCTTAGAAGAAGTAACTACATCTCTGTTTACTTTAGGTATTTTATAACTTTCAACAGAGCCTTTTGTCTGAATTAAATGCAAATAATATAAAAACACTTGCATGTAAAATAAAACATTTCTATTATTAGTACCTTTTAATAGAAAAATACTTTAAACAGTTTCACTAATCATTAAATAATACTTTAACCAGATCACTAATCATAGATTGCAAAAACGTGTTAATGGAATTCTTTGCTGTAGAATTGTGTTAAGGTCGAATGATGGTAAAATGGAGCATGCAAAAAAGCAAAAAGTTCTGAAACAAAAACATAAATATTCGTTTTTCACGAGATACCAAGACTCACAGTAATCAGAAAATATGTCCTTTGTTCAAGCAATTTCTTTTAATTTTGGGAGAGCTTTTTGCTTATATTTTGTATTATTATTTTGAGAATTAAATTGCTCACAGGTGCAGAAATTACTTAAGGTTTCTCACACCTATTTCTTAGAAGAAGTAACTACATCTCTGTTTACTTTAGGTATTTGATAACTTTCAACAGAGCCTTTTGTCTTAACTCTAGAAGCATTCACTTCTTCCTTAAAAAATGTAAGAAGTGGGTTCCATTGGTCAAGGATTCTAGATAAATATTTCTCTAAAGATAACCAGTGTGTACATATATGTTTCAAAATTTTTCTTTTTTGAGTATTATGCAGCTGTTGAAATTGCTTCAATGTTTCCTTCATGTTAGAAGTCTTTTCAAAATTATTATAACTATAGTTTAAAAAAAAAAGAAACAACAAATGGCAGTTTTGCATCGATATTATTGCTTCCTTCCATAGAGGCAGAATGGAACTATTTTAATCAATAACTGAAGATTTATTTTTCATACCCATTTCTTCTACAATTATACCCTTTAGTGATTTCACTGATGGGAAATATATTTCTAAATAAAGCTGTAGCATGATCTGATGCATTCTGTGGCAGTTCATGCTCCATTAAAAAGGCTGAGAACAGGCATTCTGCATTAATAACTTTTTGGCCCTTTGTTTCCTCAGAAAAATGAAAAAAAAAAATGTTTTTCAATACAACTCGCAGTGTCCTTGTGTACGCACATGCTTAAGAACATCAGCCCTTTACAAAATCGAAAAATTGCAATGGCTAGCAGTATACATCGCAAATATATTACATTTCCTTGATGAAATAATGGTAGGAAAGTCATTTGTATATGAATTTTAAGAAGTACATGAGCTTTTCAGCAGTCACAATTTCTTAAACTGTTTCTTGTAAGCAAGTGAAACTCGCAGTACTGACAAGACAACAAGATGACAACCCTTTATGGTCACTGGCTAAAACTGGAGGAAAGTAATAAAGTTCATCAGAATTTTTTTAAGGTTCTAATCACATAAATCGTTGCTGCTTTTCCATTTGTTAAGAGCTGTTTTTGAAACATTTTAGCGTTTTCTCTAGTACTTCTGTAACTTTAAATGTGTTGCATAGCTGTGACCTTGCTGCGTTTTGGTCACTGGCTAATATATGCCAGATGACGTGCAGTGGCAATTCATGCTTATTGGAGAACTGAAACACGATGTTTTCAGACCCTGATACATAAAGCAGAAGCACGCCATATCTTGCTGATGAAACGACTTTTTCTTTTATACATAATCTGAGTAGGTGGTGGTGGTAAGAAGGTAAATGCTTTTAGAAACCAAAAATCACTTTTCGTGGGTGCAAATAATGAATTATTAAGCCAGGCTACATAAAAATCATGAGAAATTTTAAGAATAAGAGAGAGTTAGGAGAAATATGTTGTAAATCAGATTGGCGGGAGTATCGTCAGAAATCGGGAGTCTTCTGCCATATTGGGAGAGTTGCCAACTCTGCAAAAGAAATACTTTATAGTTCTGGAATTTTCAACAAAAATACTCTTACAGCTCTTCTCAGCACCATTAGTTACAGTACAATCATTAGTTACAAACTACTAAGAATGTTAAACACAGTGCAGTGCAAAGTACATCTAAAAGGCGAAGCTCTAAATACTCCAAAGTCAAACATGAACTAAAAACTGATGATCTCTAGGTGTATATAGTTTTTGGCCAGCTGCCGAGAAATCTCTAGTTAGTACCTTCCATTTCTCAAAATTCCACGAAGGCATGTACAGTTAAATTATATAGGGACCAGGCCAAAATATTGCCACATTTGGTGACTTCTCGCCAAATTTGGCTATAAAAATTAATAGCCAAAACCACTGCTAACCTGGCAGTATCTTGCCAAATTGGTGAGATAGCCACTTACTTCAGTGTTAAATAGAATTGCACCCACAATCTTAATTTTCTGACAGCTTTGCTCTTGCTCTCATCAGACTTTTCATTTAACGTTATACAAAAGATACTCCAATTTCATTAAAATTATTTACATATATACAAAATCCACAATAGTATAGTATACCATAACAATTTGATTATTGTTCTTGTTGCAAATAACATATTCTTGTAACCTGTGTTGCAACATGCTTTTATTATTATTATTATTATTATTATTTTTTTTTTTGTGTGGCAGTGTTTCAGCAGTTGTCGCTATAGTTCCCTTACTATGTATATTTTTACCATGTTCTTTTTGTGCTGAATATACAGGGTAACCTGTAAATGTTGCTACAAACTTCTGGGGGAGGTACACATCATAAGAATT